GCTGATGAGATGTACCTTGTAAATGAACTGAAAGACTGGCAAACAAAAGGTATAGTCAACAGTTTATATTTCAAACTGAATGCGCAGTCGTCCCCTGGACATTTTCAGTCTGGATGATTGAGCGTTTAAGCTCGCGAGCAGTATTCCTGTGGTCTCCAAGCTCCCAACGCGTTTAATTTTAGTCACCAGTTTCAAAATTGCAGTTGGTATATTAACTATAACGCAGCAGCTAAAACAGTTTTGCCCAACTATTATTGTATGCTATTATTGGAATGACATTCAAGTATCTACACTGTATACGAAATACGCCGACTGGAAAACTATTTTAGAAAAGACTTTTAATTACCAGTTTTAGTTTGCCTAGTATTATTAATTCATAAGTGTTACAAAAACTACTATTTTATTTGCTATATGTTAACTCTTTCCTCTCATATACTAATTCTCTTTTATACCAAAATAAGTGTATTAAATAAAGGGCATATATTTAGTTTATTATATTTTGTCCTTTCCACTTTCTTTTCACCGCATTTTATTTTTAACAATACTGTATTGACATCGTCAAGTGGAGAAATACAAAAATACAATACAAACTGAAACAGTTTTTATTGTTATTCTTTTGGTTTGCTTTTCAATTAACCGATTCAAATCTAAGAATTGAGGATTGTAAATAGATGTGACAAAACACACTATGACTGGTTCAGTCAAGCAGGACCCACAACCTATCCTTTGAAATGGTAAATTAGACAACTAATATACCAGCCTTAACCTGACAGTGTAAAGAGTGCCTTTCTTAGTTAATGGTAAATAGGTAAACTATTCCTTGATTGGGAATAACAGACAAAAGTAGAGCCCTACCGTCCTGCTTGGATCACGTTAACAGAACACAAAAATGCTTTAACACTGGGACCTTGTCGGAGAAGGCTTTCGATAACAATTTTCGTTAACACAAATTAAAGCATATGTATTAATACTCAAACCTTTCTTCTCTCAAAGGTGCTATACTGTGCATGAATGCTACCATTGACCCTGATCTGATAAAGACGGTTCAACAAGATGTGAGTGCATTGAAGAATGACATAGACAAGATGGCATTTGAAGAAGAGGTAAACAGAGAGAATGTAAAGAAGGCGCTACATGACTCTCAATTAGTTCTGGAGCAATTGAGGGAAAGAGTTGCCATGGTAGAACATGAACAAGAGGTCATCAAGCAGGACCAAAGCTCTCTGTGCGAGAAAGTGAACACTACACAAGAACAAATAAGTGAGCTTAAATCTGAACAAGAAGATGTGCAGCAACGTGTCGCATATCTGGGAGAACATTTGGGCAAACAAGTTGCTGTTGCAGAACGAGAACAAGAGATTACCAAGCAAGAACAAGAGGTCATCAAGCAAGAACAAGAGGTCATCAAGCAGGATCAAAGTTCTCTGTGCGACAAAGTGAGCTCTACACAAGACCAAATAAGTGATGTACAACGACGTGTTACTTACCTGGAAGATCAGCAGACCCAAATAAATTATGGTAATTTGAATAATTTTCCATTGTACAATTGTATAGCAGTGTGAGGAAAATGAACCAGTACTACACCAAGCAACTAAAAAGAAGCCTCAGAAGTCGATTTGGTGAGCATTTGCGAAGCATACGCAAGAACACTCCTGGATTTCCTGTGGCCCAACATTTCAACTCTACGGGCCACAGCATCACAGATGTCCAGGTGCGTGCTATGCGTTTGTGTAGTGACACCAACATCCAGCGAAAACAACAGGAGATGAGGCTGAGTTTTCGGCTGGGAACAGTGCAGCCGCATGGACTAAACATAAACTTCAGCTACATTTAAACAATGCACGCGCAATTTTTCTACGTGCGCGCGCCCATCTGACGTAGTTACAAATCTACTGCGTATTTTAACNGGACTAAACATAAACTTCAGCTACATTTAAACAATGCACGCGCAATTTTTCTACGTGCGCGCGCCCATCTGACGTAGTTACAAATCTACTGCGTATTTTAACGGTTTTTTAACACTGAAGAAGGGTCATATACCCGAAACGTCTGAGTTATAATGAACATTTTTGACACTTTCCGATATTTATACATCCAGTATCGCTTCAATCGTTTTTAACCAAGTGTCACACATCAGCAACGACTTTTTAGTCTACCAATATACTTTTTTTTGTATATGTATTCGTGTACAAGGAACAAATTTACCCTAGGATAATGTTCCGATGAACTGCCTTGTGACCAAGAATTTGACTCAAGAAAAATCTTGAGTCAAATTCTTGTACTAGCCATTTCTGAAATGACTCGGCTGAAAAATGAATACAATTCATATGGATACGTGTCTTCATTGTTGGTGACGCTCTTTTCCAGGGCGGCAAAATGTTCTCTATTTTTGCCACCTAACTACTACTTTACCATAACATGGCTGATGAGTCAGCATATAGCAACGACAGGTTCCCTAGGTAGTATGTTTTAATTGATTGCTGTTTTGAAGCTCTGTAATAATACATTATTTTAAAAAGGTGCTGTTGTATTCCCTACAAGTTGCGTTACAGCACTGAAAGCATGTGAATATCATCAAACAAGTATCCGTGTAATTTTTTGTTTCAATTTTTTACAGAAATTGCCAATTGTGAATCAGACATCGCCTTTCTTGCTGCACGT